TTTGTCGAAGTTCAGACCTGTTTACTTCAGCCGGTATCTCTGAAGTTCAAATGTACATGTGATTACCCCTCGACTGATTGACAGTTACAATGAAAATGTCTCATTCGCTTCTGGTTTGCATTTAATTACACTGGAATTGCAATATGGTTATGGCAGAAGAAAAACTACGTTCCTTTCCGCTTATTAGTGATATCCATTTGTCTATGATAGACTGCATTGTAAAAGGAATTTAGCGCTCGTAAAATATTTGCCTTTCTATCTGGGCTGCAGTTTTAAAACAAAAAGTCTTTATACGGCCATAAAAAAATAAACTTCCAGTATAACCCAGCGATTAGCTTTTAAGCACGCGCAGAACTGATGGGAGATCAATACAGAAACTTCACCTGAAAAGCCCCACAGAGAAATGATCTTTACTGGGAAAGAAATGACTTGGGGAAATTTGCCTTTTGCCTGACATTTCTGTGAGGAGCATCTAGGCAGTTTTCACTCAGGCAACAGTCCCAGAAACTTTAATGGGAGTTGTGCTGGAGTAAGGGCGAGAAAATGAGACTTATAGTCAAGAAAACACTACTTTTTGTCATTTTCACATACCACACACGATCCTAGGTCTGGTGTGCATTCTACAGCATGGCGAACGTTGTGTCCGGGGGCACAAGAATTTAGCTAGAAAACCCCTCCCTCCCTGTAGAACCAAAGAATCCTGTATGGAAATAAATCAGGGATCCTTCGCAGGAAGGAAAGGCGCTTTGCTGTTTGAAGGGGGCTTTCGGGTTTGGAGAGTGTCAAAATTCCAATTCCATCCCAGATTTGAAAATAACCCCCCCAAAGGGGCAAATTACACAAACACGCGTTGGACGTAAAACTAGAATCCTGATCTCCGCCTAGTCTGTTCCTTCCGACACAAAACACCGGATGACGACTGCACAATGCTCTTTCCCCCCCCCCCCCCCCAATGGATTTAAAGGTGAGAGGTATTTGACCTTTCTGGCTCTGCGAAATAAACACGAGGAATCTTGGACTGGTTCTGTGCTGCACTGAATCAAAACCACTATTGCGTGAACTTGTCAAAAAACACACCCGCCCCCCATCATGGGGGCTTAGTTGCAAAAAGGGAAAAAATAGAGTAGAACCCGCTTTTACATGGCATTTGTGTAATTACTGGCTATTTCGTTTCAAATATAAACCAAATCAAAATAAAATACAAGTCCATCTGCACTATTTTAGATACATACACTCATTATTCCACACACAGCTCTAGACCCGGCAGAGTAGAACCGGGAAACGTATAAAGCAAAGATTTACAGGCTAATTTATGTCGCCCGATCTACAAGTAGACTCCAGCCTGTCAGTGCTGATAATGTTGCCTTCTGCTAAGCAATAAAATAGTTTCAAGAAATGGCGAATCCTAGCTCATTTAAAGCCACGGTTTCTTTCCTCGCTCGTGTTGCTTCTCTTGAGAAAAGGTGGCGCTTTTACCACTTGAAGAGCTAATATTTTTATAGGCAAAAACCTTCCCCATCTCAGCCCAGCTTTTCCTGGGGATAGCCAAGTTTGGCTCCCTCCCTCTCCCCTCCGTGTTAAAAGGTCCTCTGTAAAATAAAATAATAATAATAATAATAATAATAATAATAATA